GGGTTCGACATTCGCAAATATGTGAAGCTGCGAATGCCAAACCCACAAATAGCGAGGGTTTCCTGTATTTCCTATTTGGCTTTTGTTCAGCTTCTACTGCTGAAATAACTCATTGCTCTAACTAGTCCTAGGGAAATAACCTGTTCTTGCACCCTCTTGCCTTCTGGTGACGCTGCTAATCCTTACGTCCACTTAGGGAATACCATCTTGACTAAAGTCCTGCCTAGCACAAGGCCTGCATTTGTGCTTGCTTGCTTTTTTGTCTTGGTTTTCTGAGCACTATATTTGCTTCCTCGCACATCCACTTGACTCAAGTGCTCGCTGCCTAGAATGTCACTGCCATATTAACTCGACATAACTACGTGTCCTCTGATGTAAGACCAAGCTCTCTGCCTGCACTTGAGAGCATCAGATGTGATGGCTGTAAAATGTGTTTGACAGGCAGTGCTGGCTGCTGATGTGTAGCTTATCTCAGTTTTCAAGTGACCAGGTTTCCCCAGACTTACCATCTTCTCCTGTGGCACAAGACTGGCTGGCAGGCAGCATGAGGATTTGTTGGGCTTTACATGGCTGTTGGATATTAATAAAACTTACCTCTTAGCTTTTTGTTTTTGACCTGTCATATTTCAGTCATCCCAAATGGTACTAGCACCATCACAACCCCTGAATAGTTATTGCAAGGTGTATTTCTCTTGCCAGATACTTCTAACAAGTTCTGCAAAAAAGTGATCTGCTGCCCCAGTGCCATATGGGTGAGAACAGATTAGATGCTGCTTTCTGCCAGATGTTCTGTGCCTGACCAGTTTCCAGTAGCCGTCTGCACTGCCAAGGGGAAAACCTGCCGGCAGATTTGTAGGTATTCCTTCGAACGCTCACCTTGTTCGGATGCTTTAGGAGGACTCTGACTAGATTGCGGAAAGAGGCAGAGCATTGCAGTTAACTCCATACTTGCTCTATGGAGTTTTTGTCTGAATGTAGCCATGTGAAGTCTTGTGTCCTTTCTGTTTAAAGGTTTTTCAGGGGATGCTATGTGATTTATTAACAGCATTAGACATGAGCCAGAAATAGTTAGTTTTGCATTCTGTCTAGTTCATTTAGCCCGTCTTGGTAGAAAAAATGTCATTTGTAGCTGGGAAGCTTGTCTGAGTAAAGACTGCAGATAGCTTATTGAACCACTAGTGTATTTTCCTTGACTGTCTTAGTCGCACAATTTTGAGAGGAGGCTGGCTCTGCTTTCATTTTAGCAGTCAAATGGTTGTTGAAGGTCCATTAAAACTCAGTGCCCTTTCTGTCTCAGCAAGATTTGGCCCCAGAGTGGTTCATCTTTATCTCTGAGGCCATTTTCTTTCTTACTAGTGTTCACAAGTCTACTAGAGACATTTCTGCTTTGGGTTGTTCTCCCTTCATGCGACCTTATTTGAGAATAACAGGATATTTGTGTTAAAGTAGTCTGTTTTTGTAGATCTTGAATGTAAAGTGTCCAGAAAGATTCGGAACACAGTGGGGTATTAAACTAGTGGAAAGGGATCCTTCTGTACTGTGGTGGCCCACTGCTCTGCAATAGATTAATTCACTGTGTTCCAAGGGGAAATATGGCTTAGCCCTATCACCACTCTCTCCCTCCCAAAATCTTCATCCTTTCCTTTTTCATTTCAAAGTCTGAGCAGTTGCACCCATCAGAGAATACGCTGAATGCATACCCTTCTTTGGGACTTTGGGAAAGCAAGCTTTTTCTATTATTGTTATAGTGAGAGCCTAGTACCGAGTCCTCTGACATGGAAAAAACTTAATAGACTACACCACTATAGAAAAGGGGTCTGTAATTCTGGTAGAGAACGGCCTGTTTTGGAATAAGCCTAACTTCAGCTTGCTCTGTGAAGTCATGGAGGCAGAAGGACCCAGAATATTGTACGGAGAGTGCCATCTGGCTTAGGTCTCTACAGCAGGTGTGCATTAAGTATTTTAAAAAAAAATATTGAATTGTCTCTGTGGAAAAGATCTGCTATTGGAGAGAATTTATTTGGCTTAGAAGCCAACTAGCTATATTACAGACATGGACGTTGCAAAAGCAGTCTATATTGAGCTGTGTGATTAGCAGTGCATTTGATTTTTTTTTTTTTTTTTTTTTTACTTGTTTTTTCTTAGTGTTAAAGGGCTCCTACTCATTGTAGCTTGAGTATCAACAGCTCCCTAATCACTGGGTTTATTCCTTTTTCTTTTTCAGTAGGTTTGGTCCTCCTCACTTGAGCACTTTTTTGTCCTCTTCTAATTTCCCCAAATTTGCTAGAAATCCAAATAAATGGCCGTTCCCTTAAAATATTAAATGCCATTTTAAAAATTATTTAGTCTCTTCTCCCAGGCAGGTCTCTTCCCTTACCCTTCCCAGCCCTTGCCTGCTGCTCCCCCTTTTTCTATGCACACAATTTCAGATTTCTGCTGCAGTTTTCACTTTCTTGTGGAGTAGAGGAGGCACGTGAGATTGGTGGAGCACTGCAAGAGTTATGTCCCTGACCAGCCTGGAGGCTGCAACACTGAATAAATGGTACTTTCTAGTAAACAAGCAGGAGAACTGTTTAACCTGCCCCATCCCCGTTTTCTGTGGGGATTTTTTATTCCAGTTTATGGCATCTTTTGAAGTTACAAGTAAGCGTATTTTCAAATGCAAATGTGATTTCCCCCCCCCCCCCTCCAGGTTGATAGTGCCCCTTTTTAAAGGAGTTTTATATTTTACTGGGAAGTGCAGCACTCCAGACTTTGACAGAAAATGTGGGTTGGGAAGGTTGTAAATATAGTATATTATTGTCAGTTCCCCAGTCATTAAAGTTGTAGCAGAGCTCCACACCTGACTACCATCATAAAGAGCCAATCAAAAGTCTGTGAAGTAGATCACCTTATTTGAGGCATGCCTCGCATTGGTAGACTGGATCCTTGGCGTATCACTTAGTTTAGACAAAATGCATTAGCACAAATGGTAAGAGCTTCTGATTTAACTCATTATATAAAACAGCAAATAATTTAAAGTTTGTCACTGCAGAAAAAGCAGCTTCAAGCAGTCAGGTCAGTCATATAGGGAGACAGCATCTTCCCCCTTTCTCCAAGGATTTGTCAACTCTCTTCCTTCGTTGTGTGATCTTTTTAGGACAGATGATAATAAGCTACCAACCCAAGCAATAATGTGACTGTTCAGTTTCCTATCCAACCGTATAAACTGGTGACAAGGAAAAGTTGTGAAATTCTACTATTCCTGGAAATTTAAAAGATCAACAGGTTGCACTTCACAGTCATCTCTGCTATTTTAACGAGCTGTGTGTGTGACTGCATTCATTCGTCTAGTAAAATCTTCCTTTTTTATACCAGCTAAATAGTTCTGCGCGTCATGTTTTATATCCACTACCTGCTATGCAGTCAAGCTGTAGGATCATCTCTGTAAAACATACAGATGTGAAACTGTCCCCAATCTTCCATTAAAAAAACAAAATAGTTCAGTAGATTTACCCTTAATTCCATTTACCCTTGATTCCTCCAAGGGGAACATTTTTGAAGATGGATGATTCATGGGTAAAATGGTCTTCTTTCAAAGAAGCTTTCTTAATGTACACTGTCTTAGCAACCATTATACAGAAAAAAGCTTTCAAGGACAATTATGCTTACATTACAACTTCATTGTCTGGTGTGCAAGAGAACGTTTGTTTAAATTTCCTGGTAACCAAAGCCATGCAGCACTTGACATAGCTTTGCCTTCTTCACTTTATCTCTAAAATCCTAACTATTAAGGAGTTCAAAATGCGGCATGAGGAGTTGAATTCATATTATCTGTATTCACTTCAGAAGTGAATACAGCCATGTTATAAACTGGATTAGGCTGTAAGCATGTGTTTGAAGAATTTAGGTGCAACATGGCTGGTTTAAGCCAGTTACAAACATGATTGTAACTTACTGAGTAGGCAGACTGGACCTAATAGTGTGTTTTGTAATTGAGCTGAACCCCTGAAACCTTGCTTTAATATAAGCACAGGAATTACCAGCAAAATCCCTTCCCTTGTTTACTGAGAGGCTTTTTTAGTTGCACAGACCTTCACGTGATGGCAGTAGGAACCGTTTGTTGTGCTGCTTCTGTTGTCTGCACACATCATTGATCAATGTAAAGGTTTTATTGGCAGATAGTGTTGTCTTTCTCCACCGAAGAACCAGGAAACCACTAAGCAGCTTTTAAACTAGTTCTTGATTTAATTTCTGGTCTTACAAGGACTATATTCAGTAGCAGTCCTTAGTGTGATGCTTTTTTCTATTACCAAAGTAAGTTTATGCAGCAGACTTATTAGTCTGTGAAAGCACCTACCACCATTCACAGTAGGTATCTTTTAACTGTCTTGGTTTTACTGCCACATAATTTTGAGCGAAGCCAAAGAACTGACGTTCTGAAGAGCGGACTAATCAGTAGCCTGGCATTATTTAAACAAGGACGCATGGTGATTTAATGTTCCTGTGGGTATGCCTACGTTGTTGTCAGAGGCATGACTGTAGCTGGTGCTTTAAACTTGCTAGCATGGGGGTTGGTAGCTGCAGCATCAAGATTTGTTTGCTGCCGTAATTAAATACTCGGGGTGGCCAATCTGTACGGAGCTTCTGCCAGGGCTATGCTGCCAGCGATAATGGTACCCAAGCTAGTGAGTTTTTAAAACTGCTTTGATATGAATGCACAGCCTGCAGTTGCACCCTTGATTGTACTGTAGACCTACCCTCTGTTAGTCCTTGGAGTAGGCACTGTAGATATTGCATATTAAGTTTGTCAGGGGGTTCGTTCTTACCTTGTTTCCGAGCTTTGGAACTAAAATTACTAGGCTTGCATGTTCTAGCGACAGTGTTAGAAAGACAAAGACCTTATCCATTCAAATAGTATAATAGTGTTTGTCCAAGCATTGCTTAATTGCAATGCTTCTGTCATGGTCCAGGCCATATACAGCATTGGATCTTCATTGTACCCAGGTTAGGGATCAACGATGTTGCAGAGATTCTTGGAGAGGTGGTTACAGCATTAATGCGCTTTATAGCGTGGTTGGCGTCCAACTTCTGAAGTGTAGGATCCAGAGGGCCTGGATTCTTCTAATTCCGTCACAAGCCAGACTTTGAAGTCCTGCGATTTCTAGAGTTTTAAAAATCAGAAGTAGTGCTATAAAAATATTCTGTGAACTGCTTCACAGGAGGAAGTTCAAGGTGATAACAGCTTGGATGAGGATTACAGAAGATATGAGTATATGCATTTCTAGTGAGACTGCAGAACCAGTGAATTATGTGCTGAGCTATCACTCTACTTCAGATAATAGTTTGCAATAGAAATCTGTTGAACAAAGAGCTTGTTTACATTGTTTCTCTTCCAGTTTTCCCTCCCTGACTAACTTTTTCATAAATTTTGTTCTTGTGTTTTCTCTCTGCCCACCATCTGCCTTATGAACAGCATTACCTATCTGAGAAATCCAAGCCTGCTGCTACTGGTCACAGCAGCAACTAGGGACATCACTTTACCTGGTTTTGCCACTTACTGGGCAGCAGCAGCAGGCTGCTTTAGACTTAGCTCTGCTTTTAGAGCAAGCCTGCAAGAGCATGAACACCACCCCTCCTGCATCTAATCTAGCTGAGTTGTTTGAGGGTGTCACTATTTTCCAGGAAGAGCATCCTTTCTTTTTGTTTTTTGTGCTTTTTTTTTGGGGGGGGGAGTTGTGTAACTGTGAATATACATTGTATAGATAAACTGAGCACTAGTTGGAGTTTCCAGACTGGCACTGAGGGTGTACCAGTTAGAGACTGGCGCAGACGAGTGTCTTCAAGGCTCTGTGAATGTCCCATTTGTTCTCTGCAGTGAATTGTAATCTCAGCCTTTGGAACAGAGCAACCCTTAGTTACCTTTTGTTGTTCTTGAATTGCAAGTCTGCCGCTTCACACATGTAGAATTTTTTTGGAAACTTAGCTTAAGCAGAGCACATGACCTTCTGATTTCATTTTCTGTGTGCAACGTGCTACCAAAGTCCATTTGATAAAATAGAATAAAAAAACCCAGCACTAGCAACTTTGAAAACTATCATTCGCTATTGTCTCCCAAGTATAAAGACTAAATTTATGACGCCTGTGGAAGAAAAGGAGCATTGCATTTGTTAGGAATATTGAAAACGATTAAAAACGTATGGGATTACCAATGTAACTCCAATTTTGTAGCAGTGTTAGCTGCTTAGTCTGAGAATTTCCTGCTTGCAGATATTAAGGAGGAAAATATACTCTGCGCCTGGAGGAAAATATTCTTCTTTGATTGATGGATAGATTGTAATGTTGTTTGTTGCATTTAAAATGACACATTCTTTATTAAATAATTGATAGTGGGTATTTTTTTTCTCATTATAGAAAGCCTAGAATAAACTCACAGTTGGTGGCACAACAAGTTGCTCAGCAATATGCGACCCCACCGCCACCTAAAAAGGAAAAGAAAGAGAAAGTGGACAAGCAAGACAAAGAAAAACCTGACAAGGAAAAAGAAATCAGTCCAAGTGTTACAAAGAAGAACAACACCAAGAAGACTAAGTAAGTGACAAGGGCAGACTAGTAAGACACAGAGCTATTCTCTGCTGAAGCTTTAAGTAGTGATGTTGTCAGGCAGTATTGTACGTTATTCAGCCAGAAACCTGCTGTTTATATTTTCTCTCTTTCCTTTTGCAGACCAAAGTCAGATATTGTGAAAGATCCTCCTAGTGAAGCAAACAGTATACAATCTGGGAATACAACAACAAAGACCAGTGACTCAAATCACACTTCAAGGTAACTCTTACAGAATCAGCTGCTGTAGCTGCTGTTCTTGACTTCTCTCACTAATGAAACATCAAAACTGAATTGAATGGAAAAGTCCCAATGAGTAGTTTTGTAAAACTGAATTAACAGACCTGGAAACAGAGTATTTGTACTTCCCTACAGAATGAGTTTGGTGAGGGCATCAGTAATGCCTATGCATGTGAACATTTCTGGAAAGAGCAGCTTCAAGTAGTGCGAATAATCATTAATAGCTGCTTGGTTCTTGCCCTCTAATAAAGGAGTCAGAACTCGGTCGGGGTGGCAGTTGTTTGGCTGCTAAACTGCAGCGTAGAAAAATCATTATTAAGCAGTGTTTAAATTGTCACCTATCGGCTTCTTCACATCTTCTTTCCCTGATACTCAATAACAGTGTGAGGAGTGGGCATGTTATGTTCTCCTGGAGCCTTGCTCTTCAGTACAAGCACTTCAGTTATCTGGAGAATGCATTTTTGAATATATGCTTTTAAGGACCATAGGATATCTGGCCTGAACAGGGGAAACTTTCTATTCCTTTGCCTCAGGGTAAAGTGGATGGTTGAAATAGATAAGTTGGATGGCAGTTGACCTGTGTGGTAGGGTCCAATCTTGCCCTCAGCTGTGTTGACTTGTATTTTTTTTTATATGAAGTCTTACTCCTTATTTCTCAAAATCAGCAGTTGCTAATCTTGGAGGCCAAATTCTGGCCTTGTTAACAACTTGAAATCATAGAGGTTATGAAGGCAGAATTTGGACACCTAAATCTCACTGGAACTGGATTGCGTATGTGTTGTCTATGTATGCATGTGAATTGCATGGTATAGTGAAACTTAGCTGAATTGCTGTGGTTTGTGGAAAATGTGAAACTGAAACTAATGGGTCGTGTACTACTCTGGTATTAAGTTTGGTAAAACAAGGTCTCCAGTCCACTGCATATGGATTCTAATATTACACAATTCAACAGAATTGCTATTATATTGGAAATTCCTAAGCTATAGGAAAGCAATGTTTGTTAATGCTAGCTATTCTTCACACGTTTGGTCCTTTGGCTCACTTAACCTGCAGAACTAGTTTGCTTTGCTTGACTTAGAAGATTGAGTTGACTATTGACGACTGCTGCCTTTCTTCTCTCAAGGATTTGTGTCTTTACTGTATAAATGTGTTGCAGCAATATTCAGTTTGGGATCTTGGTCATAGGAGGATTTTGAGATGCCTTGCCAGTCAGCTATCATTAAATGGTTAGGTTTTATATATATATAAGAATGACCTAGGCTGGGTGAACTTCTTAGCAGGATTGCTCAGTTACTGTGGGGCTATTCTAATCCATTCTGTGCATCATGGGAAGATTTTATTATACCAAAATAGTTTTCGAAGGTTGTCAGGTCTGACCTGGGACATAACCCAGCATTGATGATACAGCAGCTTCCTACCGACAATTTTTATAGTTTTAACACTTTTGCTGCTCTAACCCTGGTTTTCTTGTTGCAGCTTCAGCTCCTGGCTGTCAGTGAGGTTCATCCATCCCAGGTCTCTTTTAAATAACTTTTATTTGTATAGAAACACTTCATCATTTATTCGGTCTTTGTCCTTGTTCAGATCTCTCAACCGTTTTTTAGCAAGCTGGGAACTAACCCTCTCAGAAATTCTGAGAAATCTGTGTGGATCTTGGGGCATTTGTCCGAGGGGGTGGCAGGATGGTCTTTTGTCTCCGGTTGTTACTTCTTGTTAATGTAAAGCCTGCAGCATGCTGTTAAGGTGCACTGCTCCCATTGTACTAGGCTCTGTCGAAAATACCAGATACTTGTGCTGCAGCGGTAGAGCACTGTCCCTCCCCATGTGTAAGGGCCATTGTAAATTCCAGATGTTCAAGAGACTCGGACCTGCTGTACTCTGCATGGGCCAGTCAGTCTGTGCTAGTGCTCCTCTGATCGCTACCACCTTTCAACTGTGCTTATGACAGGAACATGGCCACGTGCTTCTGCTGACTGTGGCCTTAGTACGAACTTCTATCCCGTACCTGCATGACAGATTAACTGCCGGTAGCAAACGAACAGCTGCTAACGTGCTGAAATACGTAGAAGCTTTCTCTAGCATTGAGGAGCCAGAAACCCCAGCAGTTACAAAACTGGATCTCTCCTGCACCATTAAAGCAACCCCCAAATGTGTAATGGCAAACAGTGTATTTTCCAATGTCAACGTCTGCATGAAAATTCAGCTGTAAATTTAATTTCATTAGTCAACCATATCTTGTCATATAACTGAGGGGGAATCTCTATTCTGAGGTGGATCTTGAAGGGCATTTCTCATTGCTCGTGCATTTTAAGCTAGGAAATCGAAGCGTATGCATTGCAAAGCTCTTTCATATTAGGCTGGATTGTCTTTCTCTGTAGAAATGCATTTGAGATCACCAAGAGGAGAAGAGTGCAGACAGGGAGATAATCCAGGCCAGGATTTTTAGCTGTTTCTGAGCATGAGAGAAACAAACAGGCCAGTAAAATTACAGGAAGAGCTGGGTTTCCTAGAGGAACTTGGGGCTTGGTTCAGAAAAATATATAAACTTACTACACTTCCTGGCGTGCTTACCGTAGTGATGTTGGCCATGCTCAGGCTGCTGAGCCTACGCCTGAGAACTGCTGAAACCCCCAGTTATGCTGAGCTACTTGGCCTTTCTCCTCCCCCACAAGCTGGGCGATGTTAATCACTTCATCTAAGTCTGTGGTTGTATGTGAAAATTTCACACACTCTTGTACGTATGGGTATACAGCACACAAGCATGTGGGTGTAGGACTCGGTATTCAAATTTACTAAGAGTAACTACAGTTTTGAAGAATGCAGTTACTTAGTGGAAAGGGAATAAATAGTAAATAGAAACAAGATTATTCCATGGCTGTTTTATCTCAGTACAGGAATATTTTAAGCACATTTTAAATGCATGTTATAAATGCAGTGAATAAGAACATTGCTTCATGTGTTACCTGTAAAGCTACTTCTTTGGAATAAGAGCATCTTGGAGGATTTGCAAGAATGTTATTATTTGCCCTCAGAAACTTTCAGTCCATCACTATTTTCTGCAGGCTGATAGCCCTAGTGCAGTTTCCCGGTGTTTCTTAAAGGACCATCGCTTGGAAGAGGCATCCTTAGAAAGGTCATCTACAAATTCCTTCCATGAATAGGCTGGGAAAAGAAAAGATCAGTTTTCTTTCCTATCTTTTTTTGCTGTTCTGAGCTAGCTTAAAATGAGCCACAAGCAGATGAGAAAAGGCAGGCTCATTCTGATACCTGCTTGTCTAAAAGCTGGGGCTCGGTCTTGAATTAACCCATCTTCCCCCATATCTCTTAAGAAGGCAACTTCCCAGTGACCTGGAGAATAACCTCGGTAATTACCCTGATTGGGAATTTTCTACTGCCTGTCATATCCTTGGTTGTAAGGGGAAGGAGTTGATTGTAAAAATGCAGATAGTCACAGAAGGTATCCAGGTTGTAGTAGCCATATTTGTCTAGAGGCAAAAGGAATCAAAACTCGTGGAAGAGGTGATATCTTTTATTAGATCAACTAGATATTTGCAAAAAAAATTAGTCACAGGAGAAACTTTGTCTTCCAGTAGCTGGAGATAAGTCATTAGACCACCTTCAGTATTTCCTTGTTCAAGTTGGCCTTTAATTCATTTCATTGTATATTTGTATCAGGTTTAGATCGAGCCTTGAAAGCATATGTGAATATCAGTCTCTGTGCACAGCCCAGTTCCTTATTAGCCGGTTTACTAATTGCATGATAGCACAGCACGCAAATTACTGAGATAATCCTGAGCTATAAATACCAATGCGCTCTGCTCTCCTGTTGTCTCCTAATGGGGAAAGAGCTAACTGAAAACTAGAATTGAATGCTCTGGGTTTTACTTCCAGTGGCCTTGTTCAGGAGGGAGCATTTTGAGCTGTTTCATACACAGGCTGGTTAGGCATCTCATTCATAGAAATTGGGAAGAACTGAGCAGGAAAGCCAGGTTGTCCCAGTGCCCAACTCGCTTGCAGCTGCAGAGTTTCCATATGGGAATGAGAGAGCCATGTTCAGATGCTTTCATGTGGTTTTGTATTGCAAAGTCACAGCCTTGTCTCATTATATCAGGGCACGTGATGAGATGGAGAATTCAGATAACAGTTCTTTCATCTGCCCTGTGGGGAGGGGATCCTGAGGATTTCTATGGCTCCTGTCCCCACAGCCGTCATAGCATCCTCCATTCTGTCAGAATAGGGTTGAGGGGGTACCTCTTTAACCTTCCCATCCTCTTGGCAGAGGTCTGCCAGGCAGCCCTTCCCAGGCATGAACGTGTTCGTGCTTCAACCCACGCAGACTGTGCTGCCACAGGAGCAAAAAGCCTGCTGAGTCCTTTGTGTGCTCTGCACAGCTCCAAGCACAGGGCGGGTGCTGCATTCTCTTTCAAATGTCCGAGACCTGCCGGTGCAAGTGGGCTGCCAACGCAGAAGGTTTGTCCCAAACACTGTTCCTAACAAACCTTTCCTTCTCCCCTCTTCTGTTCTTTTTTTAGACCCAGACTGAAAAATGTGGACAGAAGTACTGCACAGCAGCTGGCAGTCACAGTAGGGAACGTCACAGTGATTATCACAGACTTTAAAGAAAAGACTCGCTCCTCTTCCACATCCTCATCTACAGTGACCTCCAGTGCAGGATCAGAACAACAGAATCAGAGCAGCTCTGGCTCTGAGAGCACAGACAAGGGCTCGTCCCGCTCCTCCACACCCAAGGGGGACATGTCAGCAGTCAACGATGAATCTTTCTGAAAATTGCACATGGAGTTGTGGAAAACTATAAATCAGGGTATGAAATTCAAACACTCCACCTGCCCATGCTGTTTAAATCCTGGAGAGCCTCTTCTGTGCTTGAACATACACTTTCTTGGACATCGACCTCTTACTGATGCAACCAGGATAATTTCTGCTTGCCATGGGCATCTGGCCACCAAGGAATTTCGCACCCTGACGATTACTCTTGACACTTTTATGTATTCCATTGTTTTATATGATTTTCCTAACAATCATTTATAATTGGATGTGCTCCTGAATCTACTTTTTTATAATATCTGCTGTGCACAATTTTCCATGAACATTACAACCTTTTGTTTTTGGAGTGGGGGGGGAGGGCAGGGGAAGGGGGCTTTATTTATTGCATTCACAAACTCCATCCTCTTTTTCAGCATATCCTTTAAGTTCAGTTCTTCCTCCAGTTATACTGTGTACTATCAGTTTTGATATAAATTATATATAAATATATATATAAATAAATATATATAAAGGGTTATTTGAAACCAATACATGGAAACGCTGGTGCTTGAAACACTGTGAAGCGAAACAATAATATTGAACAGTAAAGATCTGGGACAGTCCCCTTCTGTGAAAGTGCTGAAGCTGAAATGGAACCGGTCTGAGATGGGAAGTGTATTCCTGAAGGTTTGAATCTAGATGGGACCCGAATTTTATTTTATTTTTTTGTTCCTTTCCCCATCCCCTCCTTCCCCCTCCTCCCCATGCTTTGGCTGGACAAATAGTTTTGATCTTCTGGTTTGTTTATTTTTTATATGAGTGTTGTGATTTGTTGTTGGAAGACTGCTCCAGATAGCACACATTCCCGGTAGGATAACTCAGACTGACAAATCACAAGTTCACGTCTTGATTCAAGTGGGTACATTCAAAACTAAGCTGAATGCCACAGTTTCATGCGTATGCCGGTAACCTGTTTTATTTCACTATCTTTTTGCATAGCCAATTGCACAAAAATACAACGTTGTGTAATTTTGATGAATTCCATCCATTTTTCCAGACCAGCATCAATAACTGCGGTAACTTTAAAAGTCTGTGGAGTAGCTTTTTGCGTTAGGATTCAAGGCAAGAGAGAACTGTAGGGCCAGAAACCTTTTTGGGGGGCTGATGTAAGAAATGGTTACTTGTTCCCATCTGTTGTTTCATGGTTCTTCCTTGATCCAACCCTTTCATGTCTGTCTCCTTCCATCCTGTTACGGGGATTATTTTGTGTTTGAATTGGGTTTGGATTCCAAGAGTGACTTCTGAACAGCGGATCATCCAGTGACGACATGTGAGGTTTGTCAGTGTTGGGACATGTTTAGCTGTCCTGCTGTGGGAGCTAAAGTTGTGAAAAGCTTTCGGGCTGGCAAGTGAGCAACAAGTGCAGCTCAGACGGATGGCCAGTATCTCTTTCATTCTAGCTCTAAAGCTATTCAGACTGCATTTCTTGGTCTGTTAGCCTTGCTTTATAGTTTTCCTTCTAGGTGTTAGCCTGCTAGAACACTAGTCTGAAGAGGTGAAACAAATATCGTTTGCTTTATTTTTAAACTTTTGGAGCTCTTTTGGCTTTTTATCCTTATTTGTGTGGCTCCAGAGTGCTTGGCAGTAATTTCAGGCACAGAGTCTGTGGCTTTATTCAACAGCATTGGGATACCCTTTTTTGGGTGCCATGTTTGGAAAGAGGGCCATTTAATAGTAACCTGGTGCTAGCTTCTTCCATTGCGAATTATTAGCTTGGCAAAAATCATTTCTGTATGTGGAGGCAACTGAGCTAAATTTTTGTTTTCAGATCAGCGTGGTTTTGAGTAGCAGACATAGGTTCCTTTCACACGTACGATCAAAGTATTCTGTACTTAACTAATTCATTACAAGCTGTGCTTGAAGGTGTATGGTAAAAAGCAGGGCCTTTGCAACTGCATTTTTTATTGTGAACACCTTAACATGGACACCCCCATTTAATTCTGCTTATATTGGAAATATAGGCTGTATTTACCTTTATAAACAACATTTTTAAAGTATTTATTAAAGAACCAAAGGAAATCAGATGCTCCCTATGAGCATCAAGAAAATATAATATACATAGTTTTAATACTATGAATTTCTCGATCCACATTTTAACATTAGTGGGATATTGCAAAGACATTCCTTTTCCAGTTTTTACTATTCCTTTAAGGGTCTCAGGGAGGGTAAACTGGTCAGCCATATTTATTTATTTTACTGAGATGTATTGGAATAATTTTTTAAGAGAGACTTTTTGAAGATGCCCCTGAAGTTGTATATTTTGCACTGCTTTATAAATGAACCGTAATCAGTTAGGCTTGCATGCATTTTGGCCCTGATCCAGCAAAGCCTGGAGACAAGCATTTGCTTCTCCCCCTAGTTTCAAAAAAGACTATACTGGTGCTTAAAGTTATGCACATATTTAAGTTCTTTGCTGGATCTGGGAATTTGTGCATAAAAGCATGATGTCTACCAGGAAATTTGTTTCATATAAAGTGAATGGACCTTGTAGATTAGTTGAAAAAGCTTTAACACACAGTAACCAGCTACTCATAGGCTACTGATTCAGTGACATCTTTTGATCTTTTTTTTCTTTTTTGGTGTGCCTCCTTTATAAAATAGGATATTGTAAAGAGAGAGTGGAAAATTACTTTGCAACAAGTGAACTGTAACTCTGCATTTAGTAGAAATTGCTAGCTAAGCATTTGAACTTACCCGGGCCGCTTTCTTAGCTGTTGTGTTGTGGATTTGAAGGATAGTGTTTACTTTTACACTTAATTTCTAGAATTGATGATACCCCTAAGGCATGTATCTGGAAATGGAATTCGCTCCACGCTCTGCATTTTCAGTTTTAACCTGCTATCTGTAGGGAGCATGTTTAAAAAACAAAAAACAAACAAACAAAAAAAAACCAACAAAAAACAAAAACAAAAAAACCACCTAACAACAACAAAAAACACTAGTGTAGAGGATGGACCAGATATGCTTGGTATTCAGTGGCACAGAAAGCAGGTAAGTAAAGCACAGTGTTATGTTTTCAAGTTTCAACTTTTACACACACATGCGCGCATGCACACACACACACACACAGACACACACACCCTGACACACCTACACACCAACATAGCTTGCCTGACTTGCTCAGTTTGACATAGTCATGCAAAGGAAAAAGGAAGAGTAGAAGCATTTCAACACAAAGGCTATTTCTTTTGATTGGAACACATTGATTGTTTCAAATTGGACAGATCTAAAACCTGGCAGTAGCTTCTGTGAGTTGATTTCCACTGAGATGTTTTCACCTGCCTTATCAAGATCATTCTCAGTCTACTTTTTTAAGCTACCATAAACGTAAATTATTGAAAATTTGTTAATTGCTGACTATATAATAACCTTTGCTTGTATGTAACCGAAAATGGTTTTAAGAGCCAACATTTAGAGTATGACAATGGAGCTGAACAGTTTTTAATGCGCAAGCAGTTCTGTTCTTGTGTATGACTTGTAACCTTAATTTACTGTGTAAAGATGGTTACATTATTTCCTTAGCTTTGTTTGTTGGAGACAAATATAGAATGCTTGTTTAAGTATGTCAAAACATAATCTTATCTTGTGGATTTTTATGTTAATGTATTATACGAGCTCTATTTTTCATTTGCCCAGAAAGACAGCTTGTATAACGCTTTTGAAAGTTTCTCCGCTCTGTAAAGTCTTTAGAGCTGACAGTCCTGTTAGGTTTGTTTTAATCTTCATGCTAAAGTGTCAATGGTGGTTTTGTGAACTGGTCAGAAATTCACAGGTCTTAAATGTTTTCGGGAAATTTATATTGGACACTGCTCTTTGTCTAGCAAATAAAAGATGTTAATATATTCCTGTTACTGGCATGTGCACGACTGTTATTAGAAGCCACTTTATCATTTTCCTGCTTTAAATAGAAATGTCTATTTATGAATTCTGCTTGTAGTTTTTTCACAAATAAAATAGTAAAATTTAATTATATCTGAAAGCTCTCTTTTTTGGGAGATGCCAGGATTTGGACAAGGTGAGCAGCTAGTATTATTGAAACAGCTTTTTTGTGTAGTGCACGGAACGAAAAACAGCTCATGTCCCTAAATCCTGCAAACACGCAAGATCGTGGTTAACTGCAGTGGGTACCCATATATGTGAAGCCAGTGGGACTAAATGCATGCCTAAACCTTCAGATGTGTTTGCAGGATTTGGGTCTTAATGCCTTAGACACGAGAGAGAGAGAAATGATTCCCCTCCCCCTTCCACAGTGCAGAAAGGATTTTAGCAAGAGCCCTTGGGTTATCTAGCTAACTCCCAAGAGCAAAATTATAAAACCCTTAATTGAAAATCTACTTACATTTTTTTGCATTGAAAAAAATTCTGGTATTTGACAAGCAGTACTGGACGTCCAGCAAAAAGCGTGTTAATTATTGGACTGTTTCAGTTTAGATTTTTTTGCACATGATTGAGGTGCTATCTGTGTAACTGTACAAGAGGATTTCTAAGTTGAAAAAGTAGAAGAAAATTTATTATGCTGCTTCCAATCTACTAAACTTAAGATCCCTGCACTTTCAGCCTGTGGAAAACTCTTAAACCAGAAAGAGCTTTGGTTCTTTTGTGGTTTCTGACTACTCTAAGCTCACTTGGCAGTGTTTCAAAACAGTTTGTGCCAAGAATAAGAAGAAACAGGAAGGTGGTGTTGTTGAGAGCCTGAAGAATTGCTGGGCGTGTCGGAGAGACAAAGCAAATCGTGCTGGCCTCAAAGAGCTTGCAGCTTAAGGCCCCCGGTCCCGCAAGTGTCTCTGAGTAGGCAGACCCCAGAACTTGCTCTAATTTATTTTCAGGATTGGGACTTTATACTCAGTTCTGATACACAATAGTGATAGAAGGGAGACGACCTAGGTTTTCAATTACAGGATCACTTTTACTAAGGTATGTGCTCCACTTGGAGCATGTTTTTAAACTGGTGTCTTTAAACCATGGCTTGCAAGCAACACAGCTCAAGTCAGGTGGGTTTTAATGAGGAAATTGAATTTGTAGCAGCTTTTATAACTCGGCTGCTGACTTAAATTGTCATTTAAAGATGAGAAGAGTAGTTATAAAATCAGTGTCCTTCGGGTCGTTGTATAAAAAAAGAAAACTTCTTAAGCCTGTGTGCTGGTTAATTTTAAAGCTTTTTACACTGGAGTTGTAAAGTGAAATAGGGATGGAAACACCAGAGGGGTACCAATGGAGTAAGAACGACTACAAGTCTTCTAGTTTGCATCGTCTTCCTTGACATCTGTTGCAGAACCATGAGCTCACCAGGCTGTTTGGGCACCAGCTGATAAACAGCCAAGAGCCGTGTTTTGAAAGGATTGCAAGTCCCCTAATATTTAATAACTCTATACTTAGATTAAAAAAGATATGAAGGTCTAGCTTGTAATGCTTTAGAAAGATCCAGGCAGACAGAGATGAGTAGAAACCCTAATCTAGCTTTAAAATAACATGGGGAAGCAAATAGGGGGCACATTTGCAGTTCTAAAAAAATCGCAACTTGTTTGACTACAAAATATGAAAATGAACAGGTTCCTGGATGACTAAAACAGACTCTTATCTTAAGGCATGGTAGGAAAACTGCCACCTTAAGGACCTTGTCTCGAGTCTTGAAAGGCCAAGCCTATGCCCTGGCATCAATTAATTGCACGTGCTCAGCACTAATTCTTTTGAAGTTAACTCACAGTTTGAATTCTTATCAACACAAGAGGTGATAAATGTAATGAATGGCAGTTTCTCCTCCAGCTGTAGTAGGATGTGCCATGTGAAAACGGGGAAAAACAGTGGAAGACAGCATTTGTGTTGGGTGCAGAGTAGGCAAACTTTACAATCCCATGGAGCTGTATCGGAAAAGAAATGTCTGATGCTTTTGTCATTGGAAATGTAGTTCCTTCCCATGCCTCCTTGCTAGGCTGGCAAAATAACTGATGTCTTTTAATACCCTTGTGCAGCTGGCAGCCTCTTCAAAAGCATTGGAAAGATATGATTGAGGTATTGCAGACTGCAGCGACGCATATGTAGAAAATATTTGGGTTCCGTTTAATGAAAGGAAAGTTTGTAACAGGATAAGAGAATGATCTGCTGCCTTTTAAACTTGTTTTGAACACGGCAATCTATTCTCCATGGTTTAATTGGTTGGGTATGGACATGTTTGTTTCCAAACCGATAAATCCAGTGCTGTCCACTGTCAATCCCATCAATGCAAATCTGTTTGGAAATATCTAACTGGCAGTGTTTGCTTCATGCTAAAGGTCCCTGGTGTAATTTCATTGATAAACTTAATTGTTTTTGTTTTAGCTTTTCAAGGAAATATCCTAGAGCAAGAGTTCAGAAAGAACTCCATGGGTCATTGAGGATTGGGGTTTTCCTGCCAAACTGAAGAAACTTTGTGAAACAGATGTTTGTGTTCCTGCCCAGGCCAAAAAGCAGACAGAATTTCAGTTTGGGTTGAATGGGAATGGGAGGGGATGGTGGAAGTGGAGGGGAATGGAATTTCAGTTTGGGTTTGTACCCTGTTACCACTAAAGTTAGGCAAATTTGTAAATGGAAACTGGAAATGCTTCATTCTGAAAAGGTCAAAACAAAAAAATTAAACTCTTGACTTTACTTCCCATGCCTCCTAGCTAGGCTGGCAAAATAATTGATATCTAATATTTTGGCTGAACATAAATTAAAATGAATTGGCATCTAGATTTAGACAACCAGAATCTGCATTTTTCAAGGACTAAAACAAGGAGTTTTACTCAGTTTTGTTATTTAACTTGGCTTTTTTCATTCTTGGGTGCCTGATTCTGAAGAACCTTGACTTTTTTTCAGATATTTCACTTCCATGAAAATCTATGCTTTCCCCCTCATCTATACAATAAGGGCTTTCATTAATAGCTGAAATGCTTGTATATAATTAGGTGAATACATGGCCTGACTTTACTGTGTGCCTGATCTTTGAATGGGTCTTGGTTTGTGAACCTGCTCTCAGGATCCTTGGGTGATAACATCAGTGTCTCCCTTACTACTCTGGTCTCTAATTTGACTGCCTGGCTGGTCCTTTTGAGAATGTGGCATTGACCCAAGCAAGAGTGGTCCAACTCCTAGCTTTTTATGTGGCTGCAATGCCAGGAAGACTGGTAGCCCAAATCAAACAATCATTCTGTAATTCTTTTTGGGGGGAAGAAAATCATAACGGGCTAGGGACAGGAATTGCACACATGGTGTAAGAGTTTGAAAACTGGTTCAAGTCTCTAACACAACGGGAGTTCAGTGCACATAAACCACTTTCAAAATGGTTGAAACTGGTTTAAGAGAAACCTGGATGGATGTAATATCAGACTGAACTGGTTTAGGTTAAATCAGTTTATTGAACTTCTGTCCCAGATCCCCTCCAGATTCAAGTGAACTCGCAGTCCCCTGGTGTCCCAGGATGCTTTGCACCGCCCCTGCAACACTTGCCCCCCCCCCCCCATTGCAGGGGGGGGGGGGGCAG